GTCGGTTGACTGAGTTTTCCGATGAATGTCAAGCTTCCAGAAATTCGCTTGCGTGCTTGGTGCGCGCCTGATCGACGACTTTAATGTTTTCGAAATCGAAGTTTTGTCCTTCTCGGTCCTCGTGGATTCAGGTGAGTGAGAGATCATCGTGTCTTCTGACGGCCAGCTTCTGCTTGTACACACGAGTTGCTAGTTTTCTCCCTGTTTGACCGATATAGGTTTTGTCGCAGTCCTTAGAGTTGATGCGGTAGATCACATTTGTTCGACTTTTGTCTTCCTGTTGTTTCTTGGTTTTCGATAAGATTCTCCTCATGGTTGTCGTTGGTTTGTGGGCGACTTGAATGTTGTGTGTTTTCAGTATTCTCGTGGTCATTTCCGAAATGTTCTTCACATACGCTAGGGTTATTCGCTTATTCGGTTGTCCATTTGTCCTTTTGTGTCGCTGTGTTAGAGTTATTGTCCGTTTGACGAAGTTGCGGGTGCAGCCGTTGCGGAGGAATACTTGATAGAGGTATTTCTCCTCTTTCTGCCTAAACCTTTCAGTGTTGCAGTGTGTTTTTGCTCTTTGGAAAAGTGTTTGAATGCAATTCCTCTTGTGGCAGGTTGGATGATTGCTCATGTACCCCAGAATTTGATCTTTCTGTATACTGATGTTTCTAGCGGTCCGGACAATGATCTTGTTACTAGGACGTCGAGGAATGCCAAATTGTCATTTTGTTCTGTTTCCGTGGTGAACTTGATACCCGGGAAGGTGTTGTTGATGCTGTTGAAGGTTCTGTCGACTTCCGATTGCTTCAGGATCACGAATGTGTCATCTACATATCCAAGCCAGAGCTTGGGCTATAGTTGTGGTAGAATGGTCCTTTCGAGTTTTTGCTTTACGGCTTCAGCAATGAATCCGGAAATTGGTGAACCCATGGGTGTTCCTTTCACGTGTTCGTAGATTTCACCGTCGAATTCGAGGTGTTTGTAGGAATAGGTCTATCAGCTCGCAAATATATTTGTTATCCAGTGTTTGTTGTATCTGTCGTTCTCCTAGAAACTCCTTCAGTGTTTCTCTGGCCAGATCGAGGTTGATGGAGGTGAATAGCACGGTGACGTCGAAGGATATCATTATTTTATCTGCACCAATATTGGCATCCTTCAATTTTTCTGGGAACTGTTTGGCGTTATTGATGGGGTGTTCGTAGCCGGCGAAAAGGGGTTTGAGTCTTCTCCATAATTGATTAGGCAGTCTGTAGGTTGGCGTACCGGGAAGTGAGACTATCGGTCGAAGTGACACATTATTTTTGTGTATTTTTGGTAGTCCGTAGAATTGAGCTGTGTTCGAGTCGTTTGCTTTCATTCTTTAGTGTTCTTTGTTAATTTGGTGTAACTGTTGAAGACGTTTCAGTGTTGAGTTGATTTTGCTAGCGATTTTCGAAGTTAGACCTATGTTCGTTTTGCAATAGGTAGTTATGTCTTGGAGTAATTCGTTTGCCTTTCTGATGTAGTCTGTTTTGTTCATTACCACGGTCACTCTTCCTTTGTCCGCTGGGAGGATGATGATGCTCTTGTCGTTTCTCATTGTTTTCATTGCTTTCTGCTCGGTTTTCGACGGTGCACTGAACGGTTTGTTTCGGGTCATGATTGGAACGATGGTTCACCGTATTTGTTGTTTGGTGTTATCGGAAAGCCCGATGGCCTTTAGGGCATGTTCTCATTCCGATAAGTAATCTTTCTTTGTAGCGTCTTTTGCATTGAAGTGAAGTCCTCTGGTGAGAACTTATTTTTCTTCGTTTGATAATAGACATGTTGAAATGTTAATGATCCAGGCGTCGTGTTGCTCAGTCTCTTTGTGCTTACACAGATTCGCAAATTTATTGGCTAATGACTTCTTTTTTGCCGTTGTGTTGTTCACTCTTCTCTGAACAGCTGATTGTAGCTTTCTCAGGGTTCCGTCATCCACTATACTTGCGCAAGTCATCGTTTCTTCCCTCACGGTGTTGTCGTATTTATGTGGACGTCATTGAGCATTAGTGACCATCATTCTGACCATGCTTCTGCCATATCGTTTCGCTATTTTCCAGGCTTTTGGGTGGTTGACTGGTGGTCGATGACTAACGCTGGACGGGAGGATGTTGTTTCGTGAGCACTCATGTAGAAAATATAGCTGCTCGCGAGTTGAAGCTTGACGATAAGCGGAAGCTTCCCACCGACGAGCGGCTTTGAGCGTTTAACGCCCGACAATGGATGATAGTTTTGTAAACAACGGTTTTGGTTGTTGTTTTTCTATTATATCTTCCCTGAGCCTTCTTTTTTCTAAAAAGAATAGTCTCAGGTCATGAAGCTTTTACTTGTAGTCTTTACCTCGCTAACCCTCAACCATTTTCGTTGCCAATCGTTGAACGCCCTCTAAACAGGTGGCATTCTATTTGAAGAAGGGTGACCATGCCTGCACACAGCACTCGAGGCGAGGTTTAATCGTAGCTTTGTACAGAGGCACGAACACATCCGGTTTTCTGCAAAACAGTGCTGACCTCAATCTCAAGAATTCTCTGCGAGTCTCATTCGCGGCTGCTATGCACTGCTGGGTCAAGCGGAAATCAGAGGTTACGAAGATACCCAGATTCTTAACCCTACTAACCGGTTCTATCGTGAACGAACCGTGGTCTTGCGCTACTTTCAAGCTGTCGTCGATCGGCGATAGCGCGATAGGGCTGAACGAAGGCGTCGTTCATCACATTTATTTTGTTCCTAAGATTATGTTGCACTGCGTCGCCAGGTTTAATGATGTTTTGTTAGCGGACGCAACACAACAGCTAAACTGTGGTGGGTACGTGCTTTGGTATGCTATGCTTGTAGATGACATCGGTTTAGGTAGAAGTTTCTCCTACGCTGTCTTGTCGAATGAGAGCAATGAGAGTTATAGATCTGCTGTAGGAGCCATGAAATCTATGTGCCCAGTCTTTACACGATGCAAGACTACAGTAGTTGATCGTAACTTGGCTAAGTACAACGCGATTTCAGAATACTTTCCGTCCTCTAACGTTATATTTTGTCGTTCCCATCTCGTTAAGGATATGAAGAAGAAATGTAACCAGCCATCTGGTATGCCAATGTTCGAAAAGCAGCGCATCTTTCAGTGGATGCGCAACATGGTGTACTGTGGTAGTGAGATATCTTTTCGTAGATTCCTAGCCGCCGTAGAAACTCGTAGCGCAGAAGCAGGTGTTTATTTACGCCGAACTTGGTTACCATACCAGGAGCAGTGGGCAGGGTATGCCGTGAGGACTAGGTTGACTTTAGGAAACCTAACTACCAACCGAGTGGAGACGGAAAATAGGCACCTCAAGACAGGCTTGTCTCCTCGGTCTTCATTAGTGGATGTATTTAAGAAAGTGCTACAACGAGTAAGGTCACTGGAAGTGACGCATGGAATTCGCCTTTCTAAAGATTCCATGAGGGGGTACCTGACACCCAGTGGCATGCAGTCGTTTAAACCGTTGCTCATACGAGTAACACTATTTGCGCGGAATATATTATTGAGTAACTGGAAGTTATGTATGATTGAACGAATTGTTCACGAGAGACGGTTCTTCATGGTCGTGGATAGTAAGTGCAAGGGTCATAAAGTAGTTACTGTAGGGGAAACGAAGTATGAGTGTTATTTCTATGCGCAATAGTTGTTGCCCTGCTTGCATATAGCCCGGATATTCGATCTGATTAATTGGGATGTTCAAAGTCTTATTCCAGATAAGTGGTTTGTAAACCGCAGCGAAAACAATTCGTATCAAAACTCCATTGTGGTAATACCGGCCTCAAGAAACATCATGGGCAAGCCATCAAAGTTAGCTTAAAAAGAGGTCGTCTTTGAAGAGCAGGGCACCTCCTTGAATAGTTTTGGCACAGTGCATGTGCCTACTAGTGCAAAACAATGCAATCAACTTCGACGTGTAGCAGCTATGATAGGGAAGTACCCGGACATCCAGATATTTTTCGACAGACAGAGCTTGGCAACAGAGACCACAGAGATTAAACATACCTGTCTTTCATCTACGAGCGTCAAAGTAAGAAACAATAATCCACCAATAGCTTCAACAAATGGTTCGATATAAGAGAAAATCAGTTTTAGGGAGTAGAGTAGTCGACAGTGAGGACGACGAAATAGTCCTAGGTAACCCACTGGAGTAGGTTGTATTCCGAAGACTGACAACAACGACATCAGCAAAGTACAAACTGGACGCTGATGATCTTAGGCTGAAAGTTTCAGAATAGTATTTAGAATAGCTTTTGACATTTATATGGAAGATGCAGTTTTTATATATTTAGTATGGGTACACTTACATCCCGAGAAATTATTCATACATATTGACCAATAATTATTTTATTTTTTTATGTAAAATAAATTTCCATTTCATCTTTTGGTTGTTCGCTGCCGTATTGAAATCGGCGTTTTGTTTGGAGTCTTTAATGAGCGAAATACTTTTTGAGCGAAAATGGTCTCCATTTGGGATTTTTCATGGCTTGGAGAATGGAGATTGATCAAATGACCTTGAATTATCTGAATAAAGCCGCATTTGGATGTTGCGCGCTTACCAACGCAGAAGTTTTTGTTTATGACTAAGTCTGTCAGCCATGTGTGTATATGTGCCCTTATACCGATCGCCTCTATTTTGACTAATAGCAGCGTTAATTGACCTAGGGAAACGCCTTGCTAAAGTCAAGGTAACACTCATCTACTCTGTGCCCCTCGTCCAATCTTCTGGTATCCTCGTCCAAGAAGCACACTAGATTATTCAAACAGGATCCACCTTTCAGAAACCCGTGTTGAGTTGAACACAGTATAGAATGCTGCGCTAGGTGCTGGCATATATGGGGGCGAATAATATTTTCTAACACCTTACACAAGATACTAGTTAGACTAACTGGCCTGTAGTTACTCAACTCTGATCGGGCTCACCCTTTATGTATGGCTACCACCGTTGTTACCTTACAGTCCCTCAATAGGACAACCTGATCTAATGAAGCATGAATATTTTATACACCGGTCCTGCGAGGATGTCAGCTATAGGCTTGGGTATGGCAGGATGAATCTCTTCTGATCCAGCCGCTTTATGGACTTCTAGGTCCTCCAAGTGTTGCCGCACTATCTCGTCCGATAAATGAAGCTCCCCAATATCTGGCGGGGATGTTCCTAGCTCCAAGGTTCTCGGAATACTGTCGTCCGTTCGGTGTACACCGCCAAAATAGCCAGCCAATGCACCTGCCTTACCCTGGTCGTCCATCACGACTGATGTAGCACCTATATTTAATGGTCCTATACCATCTCTCATCGCATCCTTGGACTGAACGTATATATAGTATTTCTTTGGTTTGCTTTTGACGCATTGTGCCAGCTGAAGCTCATGTTGCCTTCTCGTATTAGCCTAACCGCCTCATTTCTACACCTTCTGTAACGAATCTACACACACAAGACGGAAGCAGTCGAGACCAATCGTGCGTCCAAATCTTTGTGCAGTCAGCTAGTTTCCATGGCTTCCTACACTGCTAGTCAAACGTTCGTTCTGTTTTTACTCTGATTTTTAGGTGCAGTTTCACATCCATCAGATATGTAAAAATGAAATAAATAAATACAGGAACGAACTTACCTTGTTCCTTTATCGCCTCTCTCCGGGAATACCACTTCCCAGCACAGATCCAAGGCCTTTTTAAAGGTGAAAACTGTTGAGCAGCTTATGACTTTCTCCGAAAATCTATTCCACAAAGGCACCACCCGGTTTTTGAAAAACCTGGCCCTCAGCTCCAACCTGGAGTGCTCCCTTTGCAGCTTAAAGCTATGACTTCTAGTGCCACATTTTGGAGCAGGAACGAAGAAGCTGCTTAGTTCTTTGCCCGAAAACCCCTTAACCATCTTGAAGGTTTGTATTAAGTCGCCCCTGGTCCTTCGGCATGACAGCGAGAAGAGTACTTTTATTGCTTTATTTGAAGCTACCTTACCGCCTAGTAGGCCAGAAGTTCTTTGTGACAATTATTTCTAGGTTCTTTACCTCCGTCGTGCCACGTAGCGCTGCATTCCCGGTTGAGTCTGCATTGGTAGTCAGTGGCTCACACTTGCCGAGCAGCTGCGAACTGCATCTGGACTCTGGGTTAAGTTCTCACCCGCTATCTTCACATCGTCCGCAAAGATGAAGCAGCGGTTGTACAATTCTAGCGTAAGATCGTTGATGAAAAGAAAGAAAAGAAGGGGCCCAAGAACAGAGCCCTAGAGCACCCTGCTTGTAACCCTCTCTGACCGCCATGTGTAGCTGTCAACCCGTACAGCGAAGCTACGGTCGTTGAGAAATTGCTTCAACCACTGACACGCTGACCCGACTATTCCAAACGTTGGTGGTTTCCTGTCAAGCAACGTAAGACTCACCGAGTCAAAAGTCTTGCTGAAATCTAAGCAGCATACCTCCAGTGCCCTACCCTGGTCTCATCGATGTGTAGTCTCGTCCAAAAACATAAGTAGATTAATTAAGCACGAATTATTTCTGGTAAACCCGTGCTATGCAGGAGAAAGAAGTCTATGAGTCACCAGGTGTGCACATATTTGTTTTCTGAGTATTCGTTCAAGGCACTTGCACAGTACTGATGTTAAACTGACCGGCTTGTAGTTTTTCGCTTTCTGTCTAGACCCCGTCTTTCATATTGCTACCACGGTTGCCTTCCACCAGCGCCCTGACACCACTCCGGAGCTCAGTGATGCCTTAAACAATTCAGTAAAGGGTCCTAGTATGACCTCAGCTAGTGGCTAGACCATAGCTGGGTGGATCTCATCCGGACCCGCCACCTCATATTTGCACAGGCTTCTGAGCTCGGTTCCTACCTCGTCTTCACTCACTATCAACATTTGCAGTTCGTTTCCAATGGTATCTCCCAGAAGGTTCCGGGCTCCATCACCCTAGGACGAACGATAGACACTTTTGAAGTAGTTCATCGGCGTCTCAGCCCGGCCCTTGTCCGTACTAGCCGTTATCATTTGCCATCTCCAAGGTTCCCACACTTTCACGTGTGGTTCCCTTGGAGTGTACATAAGCAAAAAACCTCTTCTGGGTCATTTTATTGTTTCTAGATAATTTCTTTTCATACTGGAACTTAGCTTCCCGCTGCATTGCCTGAGCCTTATTTATGGACAGCTTGCAATTGACCCAAAAACAAGGCATTCCATGAAGTTTGTAGGAAACCCAGCAGATTCTGCGAGACGTGAGCGCTCTTTCTATTCTAGGCCACCACCAAGGACGTCTTCTTCTGGATCTAAACGGAAACAAGGGGTGCAAACTCCTGTGTCAACCGTGGTAACCCGTATCGTATTACTGCCCATCACTCTTCAACTGATGGTTCAGGTGAAACAGGAAACTAGCTTATGCTCTCAGCAGCTACCTTTAGTTGCTCCTCGTTGATCCTGGCGTAGTTTTTTACCAACTTAGCCTTCGGCCTATCGTGTCTCGCAACAAACTTTGGTCTCAGTACCCCATGGTCACTCTTTCCTAACGGATCTTCCATCATAAGGGAAGTGAGGTCTGTTTTGTAATTAGTTATAACTTATTCTAACGTTGATGGACGATGGCCACCTCTGAATCGTGTGGGTAGTTTTCCGTGTTGCGTCGGTCCATGTTGGTGCACCAAGTCCAAGAGTTCATCACCAGCGTTGCCCCTTGGGGCTCTTTCGTTGTTCCAGTCTATTTCTGGCAGATTAAAGTTAACCATAATGAGGAATCGCGATGATTGCCTCACTATGTTACCTAGGACTGCCACTAATGCAGAATCCTCGGCCCTATTAGACTGCGGCGCCCTGTAAACACAGAGCACTCCCACTGGTCTACCCCAGCCTGACATAACAGGCTTGTATGTTAAATGTGGCTAGGGTAAATGAAGCTTCCCACTGGCAGTCTTCTGCGCTTATCAGTAGAGGAACCTCGCCACTGAGCCTACCGTCTATTGTGTCCTGCCTATACCGGATGTGATTGCTGGGGTGAGCAGCCGCCTGGTCCTCCCTCAACCACGTTTCGGTGATGTCGATAATGGGGCTTGTGTGGGCTCTCGCCATTATTTCGCCCCATTTCCCTCCTAAGCTGTAAGCTGCACTATAGGTTCCTTTAAACCTGCATCGCTTGGACCCTCGGGCGGAGTATCCGAGTGTGTACTACGTTTTTTGCTTTACTGTTGTCTGCTCTTGTGGGTTCCTGCACCTGCCAGGAGATACCGTTTTTAGTCATGGAGACATTTTTAAAGGACAATTCNTCACCAGATGGGGTCGATACCCTTTCTTTTCCAGTTTTCGCAGGTGACGTGCGAGCAACAACGGTTGCTCAGCTAACCCGATTTCCTTGATCACTACTGCAAATATGCTCAAATGGTATTGGTGAGGCTCGAACCTTGTCTTTCACTACTGCGATTTGTTGCTTATCCTGGAGCACTTTTGGTGAAACTCTCGTGGCCAGTGAACTATTCACACTAGTTTTGACCCTGATCGCTACCGACCCA